AATGCTAAATCTACGAGTGTGCCGACAAGTCCGCTGCTTCATTGAGTTTTTTTTTATTATTGACTGAATTTCCTTTTTCGATTAGAACATTTTATACCAATCTCGTCCATATTTGCGTGACATCCAGCGTGCCTCACGTTTGCGATCTTTGTAACGTTCATAATCGTCCGAATCCGAACCGCTGAAAGAACCACTCGAAACCGAATCGTAATCGGAGTTCTCGAACCGATCTTTGAAGTGTTGCGCCAGTGGAATTGTTGTGAGGTATTCATTGATCAGGGGATTGTTGACGATTTCCGTTTCCACACGTACCGGTTCAATCATGTCAAATTCTCGCTTGAATTGAAATGGACCAGTGGCTTTGGTTTCATCCGTTTTGAAGAAAATCTTCAGCTTGTTTGCTTTGGCCAGTTTGCGTCGTAGTCCATTCAAGTTAGCAAATTCGAAATTTGCGAATTGTCGTGAGTTGTTGCGCAGATAAATCTTCTTCAGGCGGGGTGAACGGCTGGCAAAACTGCGCAATGCTTTGAGATATGCACCAAAATTGATGTAGTTCACCGACCAATAAACGAAAACTTCTTCCAATTTCTTGATATCAGCCAACTGGTCGATTTTTCCCGAGATGTTGCCTAGGGGGATTTAACTACGTGAAAACTTGTAAAAAAATGATATAAACGCGCACGAAATTGTTACATTCACCAGAGAACTTGCATGATTCCACTCAGTTGACAAGTTCCGTATTAAAACAACATGAGCGAACGCGCGCGAGTTCGTGTGCAAACTTGTAGCTGGACGACGCGCACACATCAGTCGTTCCATTTATTATATCTGGATTAACTTTTTCTTCAACACTTTCTCCAGCTCTTTAAAAATATTTCCTTTGTCCATTTTATAATTATATAAATCTTTGAACTTTTGGAAAGGATGTGAAAAATCTTTATACACGTAAACAACCGATTTTTAGCTTGAAACGCGTTTTAATTGTCAAATAACAACTTGAAAAACGCGCAAAACCATAAACAAACTTGTGTAAACTTGTGACCGTGCGCGTCAGTACGTACAAGGAACGCGTCGAACTCCCGCGAATCAAGCAAACTGGCAAAAAACATGCTGAACTCGTAAGAGTTAAATTCCCCTAGGATGTTGCACTGCAACGACTTCAAATGTTCGAATGTGGTGATGAGTTTGGTAAGCGACGGACCGATGTCATTCCGTTCGAAGTACAGACCTTCAACGTATGGTGCGAGTGATACAAGTCCATTCGAATTGCGACAGAGATGAGCACGAACTGAGTCAGCGAATTTCAAATGCAAACGTTTGATAAGTTGCTGACTGCATGACCGTTGTAAGGCATCAAATGCTGCCACAATATTTGCTGGCACGTCGAAGAACAACTGGTCAACATAAATTCGTTCGTCGAACAATTTTTCAATCGTTTCTTGTGACTTTGACAACAATGACAAATTGCTGATGCTTGGATTGGCTTGAAGGAATCGTTTGAGTTTGTCGATTGGGATTTCACGGTCCAAATGCCATGCAAAGTATTTCAGGTTCGAATATGTTTGCTCCATCCAGTTGATATTGTCGTCATCGCTTGGCTCGTTGAAAACTTTCCACAGCGTCAGTTCCGTCAGGTTTGGCATCAAATTCAACATGACTCGGTTCAAATCACCGTCAATGCGCACGTTTGCAAATGTCACTCGTTCAACGCCTTGAGCAATGTCAGCAATTGTGCTACCATGCAACTCATTCAGACCGGTAGTTCCATTTTCAAATCGAAGTTCTTTTATCGATGATCGATTTTCCTTGCACATCGCGCTGAATTTCTCTAGTGCCGCTTTATCCGTGCAAACTTTGTCGAGTGTCACATTTGCCATTTGGTTCGCAAAACATTTGACATATCGCTGATTCGCTGGGCCAATGCTCAAAGATCCATCGTCTGTCACGGCGTCGATGATCATCACTTTGTTGTGTCGACGTGCCAAGACATCAGCGGCCAATCGTTGAAATCGGGTACATGTCTGGCTGACCGAGCACAGACTATTCAATGACAATCGTTCAAAAATCCCAAAACAACAGTCGTCATTCAGTGACATGAACGTTGGTTTCGGTTCACCGTGCAATTCTTCAGGCGTTGCGTTATTTGGAGAATCTTTAACTTTTTCCACTTTTGGCTTTTTCTCTTTCGGACTTTCCTCTCGTGACGTTTGAGCTCGCATTCGTTTCTTCTTTGATGGAGCCATTTTTCGACCAATGTCAATCGCGATTACAACAATGTGCGAATTCTGAAAAAAAGAACGCAAAAAACATCATCATAGTCTAGGCTTGGCAAATTGATCAAGTGAATCATGAAAATGCATGAAATTCGACGATTATTACAATATTTATTATTGTCTATTATTATTCATCACCAAACAGAGATCAAAAGAACTCCTCTGAACATTGAAACTAGTCAATTTTGAGAAGGTATTTGGCGCAAAAAAACCGAAAATATTCGCAAAAATTCAATTACCTTCCTGCCAAAAAACAAAAATCGATGGAATTTAGCGACAATCTTTCTGATTTTTCTCGATTACGTTGCACTGTTCGGATTTCGTTGCAATTTCCTTGTTGTCCTCCTCTGAAATGATTGTATTCACAACGAGATTCAAATGCCGTCTTAGTTTTGGCTTATGTCGATTGCTCAGTTGGCGAACAGTAGCGGTTGGATCGTTAGACACACTCACACATACATACAATCGCCTTTCTATAGGTTGATGTAACATCAACTCAACACTAAATGTACAGCTTACTCCTCTGTTATGATGGATTCACATTCAACATGCTATCCTGTGTATATAGTGCTGTTGTGTGCAACGCACACTGTGTTCATTTTTCTTCGAGTTGCAACACAATGACCGATCGCCAGCACTAATGGACTTCAAATGCTCTTTGTTTTTGTTGACATAATAATGATTCGGTGATTGTTCTGATTTGTGCATCGTTTCGATCTTGAATTTCGTTATATCAGCAAAAAATCCTGGCCGATTGTGTTTTGTTGATGTCATCAACTTGAAGAAGAGAGAACTGATGTGATTTGTTGATCAAGAGAAAATGTTCTACATGGAAAAAAGTGTGTCAATGGAGAAAAGTGATGTCGATTCATGGTATTGCTTTTCTATGTTTTTGCTCACATATTTACTGATTCCTGTGTCGACATAAAAGTTTCATGATAAAACTGGTATGAAGCATTCAAAACGGAACACAGCAATTATCATCAACACATCCTTATTCATTTTGGCACTGCTCTGCTGATCAGCCGCTGGTTTTATGTTCATTGAACACTGTTCACAATATTTGTTTGCTGATAACTATCATATCTATTCAGCTGAGCAGCTGCTGCTTTCAAGTTGAACATAAACAAATTTTAGCTATCGTTATGTTAAATATAAACAAAAAATCAGTGGATCCACGAAAATCGCTCATTTTTCGCATCTAGGCCACATATTTCCAAACGTAAGCGCCTGAGCTAACAATGTAAGCCTAACATTGATGTCGTTTTTCAGAACACGCGTTCAAATATTTGTTGAGTGTCTCTTCATATTTTCTATTCATTCTGTTTATTATCTCGTACAAGGTAACTTTGTTCAACAACAACCGTTTCCCGGTTTCTATTCTGTTGTCTCTTCTCTTCCATGTAATTGTGTACTGGTCAAAAATTTATTCCACAACAACTTATTTGCTTTTTATTTTGGCATAGACGACTTTTTGGTATAGTCAGCAAAAAAAAAAATCTACAAAAACTCGCAGCATATCAAATCACATTGTTTTCCAAGCCATAAGTACTTGCAAGTACATAAATGTAAATTATTGAAAACTGTTCGTATAAATGTACTATAGGTATGTGTTCTGGTGCATAGCATCCCCTACTTCGATGGTGAATGCATTCAGATTGAGCAGTTTACAACTCATGCGAAAGGATACATAATACATAGCATCAGAGAGTGTATTTTTCCTTTTGATTGTTTATTTCTGAGCTGAGCTGAGCTGAGCTGAATTTGCCGTTTCAAGCGCCTGAAACATTATATAAACACGTTCACGGTGCAAAATAGCAATGAAAAATTTTCCACCGTGAACGCGTTAAAATAATGCTTCAGGCGCCTGAAACAGCAAATTCAGCTCAGCTCAGGCCTGTTCAGCAGCTAAAATATACTCTCTGATTAAAATTCTACATGATTTCAGTGAAAAGAGATTGTTTTCAGTAAAGAACAGACTTTTGTCTGGAATTCAAATTACGAAAGCGATTGGACTTACCTAAAGCAAATATGTTCGGATCTGCGTAATATTCTTTCATGAATCAATTCAAACCGACGAGGATTATGGAGCGTTATTTGACTTTGTTTTTGCATTGAGTGGGATTGAAAGTAAATTTCGTATTGCATACCATGAAAATCGTGGAAAAGCATTTAAAATATGAAAAAAGAGGAAAAAAGAGGAAAAAAGAAAAACCAACCAACAAAAATCGGCAGAAACCTTGGAACTACGTCACATCGCGTCGATATTATCGCTGTTGCGATACAAATACGAACAGTAAGCACAAATATACTTGTTCCCTATGCCTGAAATATTCAAAAAAAAAATGACTAACCAGCAATCGATTTGTTAGTATAGCTCTTCAATGTATTTGATTTGCTTGTACATATAATTTTACACAAATATAACCTAAAAATAAATGCAATAGAGTTTCATAAACAAGTGATGTCTTCTTCATATTGCTTTGGATTCTTAGAACAAAAGATAAATTGCATTAATACAAAGGTAGTGGACCAAACACGTAAGTTGTCATTGGACAATCAAATAAAGTGAGAGCATTTCATGATGAGTGGAAGTCATCGTAGATGGTTGAATGCTACCGAATTGCGGACAGAAACTGAATGACATATGGATCGTGCATGAGTGCGTTTTTCTTGAGACTCAGCACCATCGATAGGATGTCGGGTGTGTTAGCGAGTTTCTGGTCATTTTTATCGGATGGAATCGGTGGAGAATCTCCATTGGTTTGGGGTGATGGACAGCCGTTCATTGAACTGTCATTTCGGTCATGAAAATCGTTGCTGTCATCGGAGAATTTCGTGTTCATCATCAAATTCTCGGCGTATTGATTTGCATCCACTTGTTTTGTCTTCTTCTTATTGCCACCAGCCTTCTTTTTCTTCGTCACTTTCTTGGGCTGTTGCTTGCTTTTCGACGATTGACGCTCAATCTGCGGAATTGGTATCGTTCGACCGGAATTTTGAGTGTAATCAGACGCAACGGAAATGCAGGAATTTGCAAATACCACCACTGGTGACACTTGACTTGATGCACCTGGAATGGGGAGAATATACGGGGCGGGTTAGTAGTAAAATAATAGAAGTTGAAGCTTAATTTTATTCATTTTTGATTCATTTTAATTCTCTGTTTGCGAACTTGAGGCTGTTGTCGCTAAAATGTCGCACAATTTGAATAGTTTTAAGTGCATTTTGCCCAATGAAGCTGAGAGAGGCCATGAAACTTTTTTTTTCCGAAGAAATATTTGTGTCAATGAAATAAATAAAATAAATGAATATTTTTCAATTTCGGAAAAACACGATGGAAAATTGGGAAGAACATACTTGAATCTGCGGATATGGTGATACCTTCCAAAAATAGACTTCATTCAATTTAAATCGTCTTGAATGAATTTTATCACTTACAATTTTCAAATTGAAACGATAAAAAAATGGCTCAATTCAAAATAAACACTCATTCGCTTGAATGAAAGTCATTCTGCATTGATGAATCTATTGAATCCAAAGAAGATTGAATAAATTGAAGCTCTTATTCTGAACCAGCTTCATTGAAACAACAACAACCACTCCACTTCACTTCGACACAAAGAACCAGCTTAATCTCAAGCAACAGAATTAGCTTCACGTGTGAATTTGCAATGACGTGCGTTGAACAACAACAACAACAACAAAAATCAACATTCTTGTTTAACGTCGTATGTGGCATTACCTGACATTAAAAATGGATAGGTTGGTTTGAGTGACGATGCCACACCTCTGTCAAGATAATGGTCTGGATAGTGATGTGTTGAAGTTGGCGGTGATATTGGGTAAATCTCTTGTTGAATGCGTTTTTTCACGTGCATATTGAGTCGTTCGCGTATATTCTCTTTGGCCGTTGCCATCGGATCGGGTGGCTGTAATCTCCTGGAATTCGGCGATATGACAGGAGTTGGTGCCGAACCTGCAGCTGTTAGCAATATTTGCGGTATCGACATTTCAATTTGCCGTTTAAAACTCGCAGTACAAACACTTTTATTTCCACACACTTCCGAACACACTGGATTTGGGTTTTACTGCCAAACACGTCAAAATTCCAGTCAACAAAACTCCGTTCACGTCGAATCAATTCTTTAGCACCAAAACTAAGCAAAAATTCGTCCTATGTTCATTCAGTATCACGTTGGAATGGTGCGTTTTTCTATTGCGACGCAGTTTAGTCGAATCCAAAGCCAGCGATGGAATTTCGTGTGTCGCGCACGCCTCTGTCTCTTTAAACCATACGAAACAAAAAAAAATCTTTATTAATTTTCTCTTATTAATGTTCCTTTTTTGTCGCTTCTTCTCAAACAAACAGAAAATAGCAGCAAGTATATGCAAATGGGCTACGCAAACATTAACACTGAAGAAGAACTGAAAAAAAGCAATCGACACAAGCGAACAGAAAAAAAAATCCATACATTGACATTTGGTTTGTTTTGATTTCTTAAGTTCGTACCGAACAATTTTTTTTCCGTTGTTCGTTCGCTCCTTCGGCTGTGTGTGACGACCGAAAAAGATGGCGCGCATCGCATTGCTCAAGCGAGAACTGCCAAATTTGAACACTCGTTTGGCAAACAGTAGTTAGCTCATTGGAAACGAGATGGAGCCGCTGTGAATGGCAATCGAAATCAGAAATAACGATGTTGAATCGATGTGAAAAAATTGGAAAAATTTGAAAACTTCTTCGATATTTTTCAATTGAATGAAAATAAAAAATTTCCACATCAAAAAAGCAATTTTTTCCCCAAATTTTGCCCATGGCAAACACCATGCTTAGACACTTTTAGACGCAAAATGGCAAATGTCAAATGAGTAATTGTGCGACATTGTTACCTGTCAAACTGAGACAATAGCCATATTAACTGCATAATACAAGTACGTCGACTGTGTAAAGACCCAACAGAACCGAAAAAAAAATACTTTCTCTCATTTTGGTGGCAGAATCCATTAATTCTCATTTTTCTTGATTAAAAACCGCGTCCACACAAATTAAATGTTGAGTTAAATTGAAAATTGAATCGACTGTATCGCATAAATTGCATCAATATTTGATGCGGATCGTTTTGCAGAGAGTCTGCGACCCGAATTTAGTGTAGCCTGTTCGTCTATATGCAAACGAGAACCGATAATTTTTGTGTGTGGAATATTGCGTCCGCCATTGCTGTTGTCTACTAATTGTTGATAGTGGCTTCGACAAAAAAAAAACATTCGCTCTTTCTCTTTCTCGTGTGTGTGTTGTTTCGTTTAGTTTTTTCTTGCATCTCATCTTGAAGCACGCGACACGAATCACTTTTTTTTCTTTCGGGAAATTAGTTTTTTTTTTGTTAAATTGAAATTCGATTTGCACCAAATCGATGCAATTGAGATAAAATACTGATTGAATTTTGACACACAGACAGAGACGAGTGTGTACGAACGAAAGACGTGCGGCAAAAAAGTGCACGCCACCGAAACATATCCATCGGCCCCTCGATTTCAACTTTTTGTGGCCAGAATATCCAGTTTTTTTTTCGTTGCTTCGTTTTTTTCATTTCGTCGATCTCAATTTCGTTTCCATCGTATCTCATTTCAACGACAACTTTGCAACCACGAACGACAACATCACTTTCAAAACGTCAAATCAAATCTATCCAAACGTCAACTAAATATCGTGCTGAAGAATTTTACTTATCACAATTTTTTAATAACAATTCGCAATTATGACGGCTACGGATCAAATGCGAGCCATGCTCGACCAGCTCATGGGAACATCGAGAAACGGTAAGACATTTTTTTTTTCTTCTTATTGAAACAATTTTTTTCATGTTTGTGTGGTTGTTCTCCGTGTGTTGTTTTTTCAATCGATTCAAAATATTGCGAATTTAATGCAAAATCTGATTTATCGAGCGCTATTTTATTTGCAATCAAATTTTAATACGGATTTTACCTTCTTAAGCCGCATCAATTCATAATATTCGACAAGCAACAAAATCATTCATAATTTTTGAAATGGACGCTTGTTCGTTCATTCGACAATTAAAAAAAAAAAAATTGAACCGAGAAAAAGTCACGCTTTTTTAAGTTTAAAAAACTCATTCTCCCAAGAAGAATCTTCTTTGCCAGAAAAAGAGAAAATAGAAGAATCTCCGTTTTTTACTCAATTTATTCACTATTCTTCAGAGTGCTCTGCGATTTGGTCTAAGGTGGTCAGTTATATAAAAAACATGACGAAAATTTTGTGAATTGATTTAGTTTCTGTGATTTATCAAGCCCTGTTTATGATTTATTCCCATAATAAATTCCGATTCTGGTTTGAAAAGCAATCAATTTCCTATTGAATACTCAACGGCTTTGAGTCAACGCTTTCTGTTTTTCATTTAATATGCAACCAAAGAGTCAATAAGTGATCTGGTCGATTGCAAATTGAGTGATTTTTTCTATTTTGAGGCACACAAATATCGTTAAGTCAAACACAAAATACGGTTTAGTTGAAAAATTCAATTATTCTCATTCCAATTATTTATTGAAATTTGTGAGCATAAATTTGATAACAATTATTCATTTCAACACCAAAATAGCTTCGACTAATAATAAATATCAATCAATCAATAAAATTTGTTTATTTCAAGACTTCTTTAATTTTAATTCATATTTTTTTCTTCTCATTTTGGTTTGACTGCTCATTTTTCTTGCGAATCCGACATTTTGGTTCGGCTGTGGAATTGTATCTTTTGTCATCATCCACATCATCATCATCATCATTGTTTTAATCACCCACACAGGAGAAGGTGATCGATTCACGTTGAAGTTTAACGACCCAAAAGTATGTAAAAGCTTTCTACTTGAATGTTGCCCACATGAAATTCTAGCATCAACGGTAAGTTAAATAATCTCTCTTGAACCATTTACCCCATTTCATACTTGTTTTTCTTCTTTTTTCCTCCCTTTATAACAAATTTTCTTTTTTAAATGTGCTTCGAACTAGTCATTCATATTTTAAGAATGGTGTTGATAAAGAAATTATAAAAAAAATGAGTAAATTTTTATTCAAATGAATGAAGGGAGGTATCTCTTGAATTAGGGAGAAGTATCGTTTATAGAAAAAAATTGACGATTTTTTTTTTCGTTGCAAAAGTAGGGTATTTGAAAGATTTTAGGAGAATTTCATGAAATTCCACCCTGAACTGGGGTCAACAATCAGTTTGTATGCTGAGTCTGTTATTATTTTTCTATTTAATTGCTATCGCTGTTGATTTTGGATATTTTCATATTTTGTTTTTTCTGTTATTATCAGTTGAGGTTTTCTAGAGAGTTAATCGTTGAGAAAACTGTTCGTATAGAGAGTTAATGAGTCGTTCGTCTTGTCGTCGTCAGGTTTTTTTTTCTTTTCGAGTCAGTATTCAAACACATCTGTTTTTCAATAGGGCCAATTCTCTCTATCAAAACAGTGTGTTCACTCAAATAATCAGTGATTCACTTCAACAGGGCTTGGTACGGTTAGGTTTTTTGCTAGTATGAGTCAAACAAAACATGCCTTGTACAATTTACACATTTTCGGTTTTGAATGAATACATAGAAAGGGTAGAACAACGTAGACAAATTTTGGTTTAAAAAGAAGAAAACAATTGCAACCAAATTTACTACAAAAACAAATCTTCGACTGGATATTTCTGATTCGCTTCTTTAACATCTATTGTGTTACCGATGTAATTTTCAGAAAATGCCTGCGCTTTTTCTGTTAAGATGAGGATAGAAAATTGTGTGTTGTTGTAGGCGTATTTGTAAGTACAATTGACGTACGTATTAAACACAATTAATAAACAAAAACAAAACACAAATCAAACAAATTTCTACAAACAAACCAAAAAAAAAGCAACAAAATTACAAATTAAATCAAAGCTGCTGAGACAAAAAGCGAGAGCGAAAAAAACTGGCTGCACAGTATAATAGATGGCTTTCAACGACCGAAAGCCAATCTATTAAAGTCATTTTTTAAATAAAACATAAAGTTATTCGTCAATTCTTTTTTTATTTTATCAATTAATTATTATTTTCGCGTTTGCTAAATTGGTTTTTCCATGGGATTCAATGTATTGAGTCATTGTTTTTGGTCCATCATCATGGACATCTTCTTTTTTTATTATTTTGGTTTTTCTTTTCAATCGCACTTCAAACCAAGCATTACACGTGCGACCCTTGAATCCGTTCAGATTCTTACATTGAAAAACACCTTTTTTTTATCGTAAACATTTAGATGTTTAGTTCAACTATAGTAATAACTACAAAAAAAAATTAAACAAAAACAAATTCCAATCGCAAAACACGGTGAAAAAAAAGACAAATATGATTAGCTAATTTATTTCAAGTTTTCCGTCTGCCCGTCGTGTCTCATTGTAAATCACTTTGTATAGAAAGTAGAGCGCTATGTATTGGTGAGTAAATTATTGTTTAAAACACAACCAACCAACAAAAAAAACACATAAAAAAACATCCAGCTTGAGCTATGTTTTGGGTAAAAAAAATTATATCAGTTTTTTTAGACATTTAAAAAATAAATAAATTTAAATCGAAAAATTGAGGCTTGCTGCCATGATTTTCACGCCACACACCGTCAACTGGAGAAATATAAATCGTATATCGAACGATTTGACCATACGACCACACGAACGGTCTTTTTTGCACGGGCTAAAGTTTCAATCGGCGTTTTTACTTTGACTACGCCAAACACGTCGTGGTGAACGATTCTCGCTTTTTCACATCCCATTTCACAGAGTCATTCCAACATTTCGAAAGGGATTCCCGAAGACGATTCGCCGTTTTCAAACCTAAATACTCTTTGAAAGAGAGAGAGAGAGCATTTTTGGTTCGAAGTAGATTTAGCTAGAACCAAATGAATTTTTTTTTGAAAAAAATCCGACTTTTGCTGCAAAAGAAAAACAATCTACTTTAAAAGAAATGACATGGGAATCTCAAATTGAGAACACTTCTTTTTCTACGAAAATTTTCTGATCGAAAAATTTTCTGAAGAAATTCTTCTTTCAAAGAAACAAAAAATACTATATCCTGAAGGAATGCGATGTTTCGTGGTTTTTTGGCCACAATTTCTATTGTAATCACCAAAAGACGAAAAAATTAAAGAAATTTATATTATTTGACACTCGAACGATGTCCACTGCATTTTCAAAGGAAAATTTGCAAAAAAAAATGCAAAAATCCAAAGGCTCTCTGAAATCACCTATGTTACTTTTGCCTAAAACGTCAATGTCATTAGCAGCATTGACGTTCTACTGACTTAAAAGCATTGAAATGTCAATTGCTTTGACGTTCTAGGCACAAATTTCCGAGAGCCTTTCTTTAGCCAATTTTAAGCTTTTCTTAGCTTCCATGTCAATGCTCCTTCAAAATGTCAATTCAAATTTCCAAATGCTTCATCGAACATCATTTTTCTACATTTGAACTTCATTTATCAATCTATTGCTCACACACCGCATCGATTCCATTCTTCTCGAGTTAAAATCATTGCTTCCGAACTTTAGTCCGTCCGAAATTACACGTGAACTGGTTCTATTTTCTCCAAACTTAAGAACAAAACCAATTGATTTCAAAAGCGTAAGCTTTTGTCATTTTACTAAAAAAAAAAGAGTAAAAACAAAAACGTTTTATCATCGATAAAACCGATTGCATGGAACGCCCATATTGATTGTGATCTTTTCTTTTTCTCTCTTTTTTTCTTTCTTTCTGTTTCTTCTCAATTTTATCTTTGTTGAAATCAGCGCATGGATTTGGGCGAGTGTCCAAAGGTGCACGATCTTGCATTGCGAGCTGACTATGAGAAGGCAGCCAAGCACAAAGACTACTACTATGACATCGATGTGAGTATTTTTTTTCGTACTTTGAGTTCTGTTGAAAGAGAAAAAATTTATTGGAATGAAAATCGTTTAAGACGAGCTGAAATTTCAAAGACTTTTCCAATTTTCCACTCCAAAAAAATCCTAATCGATATCATTTTTTCCATCCACCAGGCAATGGAGCATCTGCAAGCGTTCATCGCTGATTGTGATCGACGTACGGAGGCGGCAAAAAAGCGTTTGGCCGAAACACAAGAGGAGCTAACGGCTGAGGTGGCGGTTAAAGCGAATGCTGTCCATCAATTAGCCGAGGAAATTGGTAAGAAATTAGCCAAAGCAGAGGCACTCGGCGAAGCCGGCGAAGTGGAAGAGAGTGTACAGTTAATGGCGGAAATCGATGAGTTGCGTGCGAAAAAAGTGCAAGCTGAACAAGAGTATCGGTCATCAATGCCGGCCAGCAGCTATCAACAGCAAAAATTACGCGTTTGCGAAGTTTGCTCCGCATATCTAGGCATTCATGACAACGACATTCGATTAGCCGATCATTTTGGTGGTAAATTACATTTAGGTTTTATGGCCATACGCGATAAGCTTGCTGAATTGGAGGTGAGCATTGAGTCGACACATTTTGTCGTTTTTTTCCCTTGGACATTCCGACTAGACAAACCAAAACTAGTTGCAACTTTGTCATTTTAATCTAAATGATTTGACCGCTCTATTCGCAACAGAAAACGGCCGGTCCACGGAAAAATGATATGAAACGATCGGGTCGCAGTGAACGTGACTATGATGACAGTTCGAGTTCAAGATACGGTAAGAGTCGCTACTATGTTGGTGGTAGGGAATTAGATCGGCGTTCTCGTGTGCATCGATCACGAAGCAAAGAGCGCCGGCATGGACGATCAAGCCGCAGCAAAAGCTATTCATCACGTCGACGATCACGTTCACGCTCACACTCCAGGGATCGACGATGAAATGGACCATAACAAACACAGAAACACACAACAAACACACACTCACCCACAACAGATTACACCGGATTATTGGAAAAAGTAACACACAACATTGAATTATTTAACATTTAAGACATTTAAAAAGGAAAATAAAACAAAAACGATTTAAATCCAATAAAATTCGAGCGGCATTTCTTATGTTTGGAAATTGATTTTAAACTGCAACGATTAGAACAAGCTGTGAATTTAGGTGGAACACTTCGGAAAGTGTCCGTCTGCCAGACTGGAATAGGACAATTTGTCTGGAATACTAAGGTATAGATCGGATATATAGAATGAAGCTGGCATAGACCATATCGAATTAAATGAAAGGTAACATTCTTCGACGATGAATCTTAGGTCGTTTTCAAAAAACTCCATTCCTTCAAAATCATGATTTCAATTCACATTCATCGGTGAAAGCGATTTATGTACCACCTCAAAATCAGTTGAAAAAACGAAATTGGGTCAAAAAGTGTTTTGAGAAATAACAAGTAAGTATTTCACGTCAGTAAACTGATGAGAATATTTTTTTCCAAGAAATTCATTTAAGCGCACTATTCACTGAATAGTATTCAGTGAAGCAAATTCCTAAGTCATGTGTGGGCGAGTTGATCGTGTCCAGACTCTCGGAGCATACTGTATGCTGCATATATTGTTCGCGATAAATATGAAAGTTTCACGATGAAACTAGCTCACACAAACGTCGTTTCATCTAATCAATTCCACGGTCGTTGATATTATTTATGAATCAAGAACTGTATATGTATAGCTTGATAAGCTGATGACGTATCGATTACGTCAACTTACCTGATCGATTTGTGATTTTATTAAATCTCAATGATGTTAGCATTTTTTTCACTTATTTCTGTCTTATCCTATTCGTTATAAATTTCTAAGCAAAGTACATCTTAATATTTATTTACATTTTTGTTTTAGTTAATTTATAAAAAATCATACAAAATCAGCATGTAAAATGAGAAAGTAGAAGGTACAAAATGTTCATAAGAAAAGAGAAACCAGCTTTTTGCCTTATTCAAATAAAAATCAATGAAAATAAAATAATAATATTAAAATTGTTAAAAAAAAACATCAAGTTCTAAGAAAAATTTCTTCTTTTCATAGGTTATTTGGGATATTATCTCGATTGAGTTCAAAAATTCATTATTTTTCTAAATTTTTGTGGAGTATTCTCGATGCTATCAAGTCTATAGTATGTGTCCAATTGATCGTTACAAACTTGATAGACGAAATTTTTCTTATTTTCCAAATATTGTCCGTGGCCTTCTAGTGTGATTTCCTTCAATTTATTTGCAAAAGCTTTCAATTTTGCAAATATATTAAATTTATTGATATCGTTACTGTCGTTTGGTTCCAACGAAAATTTCCATGTGGTATAGGGACTGAGGAAATAATCGCCCGTTTTCATTTTGCTGATTATGTCGTTCGGTTTGGTTGGTTGTCCCCTCTCCAGTGAAAACGAGATTTTAACTGGTTTTTCGGGTGAAATGTAGTAAATTCGCTTGTAGCAACGATAGTAACAATTGCCGATCATTTCCAATGTGATCTTGAAGCGGCTAATCTCACTGTCAAACACACTTTGTTCACTCTGATTCTTGAGTGTCAGTTTTATCCAAATATTGTTGAATTTGATGGCGCTCATTTTCAAACCGTCCCAAATATCGGCGTTAAATGTAACTTCATCACCATTTAGAAGATTCACAAAATCATCTTTGTAATCGACCGAATGCCAAGTGTAAAATGGCTCCTTATCGGTGAAACTATAATTGCTGTACAAATATTCATCGCCTTCTTGAAGTACTGATTTTGACTCTTTGATATTCAGGATCAATTCACTGATTCGAGCAATCCTACCTTCAATGAATTCGGGATCGGTGATGCTTACATTTGATTGCAAGTCAAATTTGTCCAGAAAATTTTGAGCAAATGGAAATTTATGCCGCTTAATTGCCTGTATTCCAACCAAGTACTGCTCAATGGCGAGATTCGACTTGATAATTATTTCCATTTTGAGGACGTCCTCCAAATGCGAATCTTTAATTTCATTCTGTCCGACCGCAACGTCTGCTATCAATGTAGCCAATTGAGCCTTTTCCGTGTACTCATCGATGCGATCGTATACATCAATGACGGTCGTGATGCCTTCGTTGATTTTCTCAATGCATCGTTCAAGATCGGCGCTAACCATAAAACCCTTGGTCATTTGATTAAACAGATTTTTGACATCGCCCAATGTACTTTGAATCGACCATCGACTTATATCCAGTTCAACATGCGATTTTCCCTCGGAGTTCTTAATAGCAAAATCAATCGATTGATCAATCATTTGGAGTTGCGGTACCATGATATTGTAAACGTTTTGTTCATGCTGTCGAAGCACTTGCATTTGTTGGTTGAGTTCGTTGAGCGTTGCGTCGACTTCTTTGATTTTATTCTGATCGTCACGAATTTGACCGTATATTTCAATTCCAACCTCGCCAACTTTCAGAACGTTCTTCATGTAGCCCAGCTTTTCAATCGCTTGTTTGGCTATTTTGCTATCGGGTTTGCGATCTTCCAAAAATTTCATCGTATTTTCAATTAGTTTGACTAACTCGTCACGGCTTTTTTTAATTTGCTTCATTTGATCAGCATTTGGAATTTCCGTACTTTTCATGATTTTTGCGATATTACCCTTTAGCGCGTCCATATTTCGTTCAACTGGTATCAAATCAGTGCAGTTTTCCGTGCGTAAAATAACATACAAATCGTTCAATTGCTGGTCAAGAAGTTCAAAATTGTGTTTCGCATGCTTTGATATCCGTTCCACTTCCGCTTTTACCAATCCAACGGGAACGGTCACTTTGTGAAGTGCCAACGTGCTATCAATCACTGTATCGGCCACGGATGTTACCGTTCCGATTGCGGCACCAGCAATCATACCCTGCGGCCCCATCAACGATAAGCCTGAAGCGACCAGTTTCAATGGACCCAACAATGTCTTAAGAAACATTTTCTGTTCCAATTTCTTTTTGTTTTCTTCGGCTAGTTTAATTTGCGTTTCGGTCGTTTTCTTCTTTGTAAATATTTCGCCGAGCAACTCTTTGATCTGAGCATCAGTTTCCGTGATTACAGTATTGATTCGCGGGATTACAGTTTTTTGGACCAAATCACTTGCAGCCACAATTTTGTCGTTCAATACACTTTTGTATGCGTCACGTACTTCATTGATGTAAACGGTTTTTTTCACCTTTTGCAATCGTATCATTCGTGTCTCGACGATTTTCATAAATTCCAGCAAATTCACGACAGCAATGTTGGTTGAGTGTGATTTTATGGCAAATAGTCGACTCAATACAGATGTGTATAAGCAATTGATAACCTTTTGATCGTCCGCTTTTCCATTCAGCGTTCGGCTATAGTTCACCATGCGATCACGTAATGATTCGTAGTATGAATTGAACGATAACCTGTTTCGCAATTTGAAGTAATGCGATTCGATACTTTTAAATTCAGCGATATAGTCAAGCGTTGTATACGATGCGTGTAGATCTTGATTTTCATTCAAATACTCCAGGAACATATCCAATTCCGATACTTGGATATTGTTTGCCAAATACTCTCTAACAAAGTGTTTGTAATCGATGTATGTTTGTATTGGATTTTGAAAATCGAAAGGCTTACGCTTGAAAACGTCACAATTTGCACCATCTATTCCATTTTCACCGGGGGCGTTGGGAATTCCATAATAACCACCATAAGAAGCTTCACGGCTACGTTCTGTTTTAATAACATCTAAAAAGTTGTTGTAAGCTATTCTTACGTCCATTATACGCCCATTAAATGACTTTTTTCCACCAATTCCACCTTTACCGTCTGATCCCTTTTTACCTAGGTGAAATATCGCACAAGAGAATTCCAAAATTAGAGAGCTAAATTATGAAACAAAACTCGGGTAAGAGCCAAAGCTAATTCAAAATCTACATAAAAACGGCTATCGTGTGTTTACCTTCTCCACTTATTTCAGCAAAATTGTGAGCATTCTCAAACGCAAATATGGATGATTTTCCACTATAGCCACCCGGTGCTCCACAACCGCCATCTCCACCATCAGTGCCTCTTACTCCCATACCTCCAAGAAATGTGTAATCCTCATAATAATAGCCGGGACCATTTGACGTACCACTGGTATGTAGATGTATACTAGGGTCATTTTTCAATTGGTCTACATCCGTTATTTTTGGTGGATCTGGTCCATTGGTTCCATCTAGTCCTAAAAACAATGGAGTGAGAGGATACAAAAATGAAGTGCTTTGGACTCGATTTGATATAATCGTTGGCTGTTTGTTGGCTCGGCTACCGATTTTTATATATACACATTTCAAACTTCAAAAAATCGGCGACCAATTGCGATCGCTGCACAAACCTCTGCCTCCATCTTGTCCCGAACCTCCATTGCCACCATTTATATAAACCTGAATGCGTGGCTCATTAATTGTTCGACCAAGTGCAAAAAATTGTCCGCCAGAACCGCCTAATTTTCCCGGTGCTCCGTGTTCACCTCTCTGTGGATACTTGAGTGTTTTACGATCGGAAGAACCTGGTGGAAATTCATTACTTGGCCGCGCTGCTGTTGCAAGTCCTTCTTCATCGTGACCACTTAAATCAATGATTCTGCTTGAGTTTCGTGCAATCACCACAATTTCCCACACTGGTGATACAATAGCAACATACTGACTGAAAGTCGTTGCATTGTAGTCAACATCGAGAAACACTTTATTTGCTGCGAACACTTCTATGTATTTGGCTGTCCGAGAGCAATCCAATGGAACGATGTCACTGATAAGTACGTTGAATCCCGTCACAACCAAATGTGTACCATTGCACTTATGTTCAAATTTTTGCATCGATTGACTCCAAACCGCTTGCAATAGCTTCAGTTTGAATGTGTTTACTAATAAGTCCTGAAATGTCTCATACTTATTTGGATAGACAGAGTCAATGGCTGATTTTATATCCAGCTCTTTTACCATAACCTCATAACTTTCAACATTTATCGTTAGATTCATCAGTTTGGTTCCGTCAATTTTCGTTGACTGTTGAATGCTGTACGACGATAAACGATCTTGTAAATCAATTAGAAAACTGTACCATGCTCGCGAATTGTCCAAACGTGCTTTCAATTTGGCTATGGCATTTGTGATTTCATTTGGAATGTTGGGTTTTCGTTTGGTAAGCACTTGAAGAAATTCAAACAGTTCTAAGGATTGAAGGAAACTTCGAAAATTGCTACTCACTATAGAAATGCCCAGAACATCAGTTGTATCAATGAATTGGTTTCGAAATTCAAGTGGCTGCAATGAACTGATTTGTGACCAATCCTTCAAAATTGCTGCGGTTGCAGCAATTGAATCTCTTAAGCTGTGCGAATGTTGTTTTTCCTTTTGCTTGAAAAATAGCTCAATTTCCGCACTGATGATGTTAAAATCATAGATAAGCTGATTCTTTGTCTCTTCAACCAAATCGTGGGCTTGTACTTTTGATTTGTCCGATATGACCATACCAAAATCATCCGATTCCTTTCGTACATATTGTAGATTTTTATTAATTATATCAACAAGATACGGCTTCTCTTTTTGTATAAGTGGCATTTGGCTCAATGGTCCCGCCTTGTATGCCAATCGAAATATCCCGATTCGTGTGTATTTTCCGTTTTTCTTCTCAAGCAAAATGTCAATGAATTGAATTTTATTGGCAATTACTTGACGTTCATCGCCTGCCTGAGTTCCATTCAATTTTGCTTTTAATTCGATCAATGTTTGATTCAAAAACGTCGCAATTCCAAGGATGACCGATTCATCGTCGATTAGCTTTGGTGGTTCAGATTCATAGTCGTAAGTGTTTGGCACTTTGGTCACAATCAATGCAATCGCGTTTCGATATTTGTCAATGTTCTTAATAAGACCCGTTGCAAATCCAACTAAATCCATAAAATCGTGCCGATCACCAATGGCAACTTGAAGTGCAGTGTAACTAACGGTGAAAATTAATTTCGTTGATTTGGCAAAATTTAACAGTTTTTGAATCAAAAACGTAGCTGCCAAGTCAACTTCAACACCTCTTGAATCGCTAAAACCGGGACAATCGTAGTAAGCGAGACAATTTTCATCGTCAGTAAATAAATCTGGCACAATTGTTTTCGATGTGGTCGTGTTCAATCCACTAATTTTGTCATTTGGATCGACAATTCGGAAACTGCCTCGTACACCTTCAATCGGAACCGAGTTCAATTCAACATTTGTTAAAAATTGCGTGAGCGTACTTTTGCCACTTCCAGTCATACCAAGTATGAGAATAACATCGGTTTGACTGCCAACTATGAAATTTCCATCTTGCTCTTTTATATACTCCAATATCTGCACTGAATCATTCGCCGAGTTCATTAAGTCATGATTATTGGCTTTAATTTGTTTTAAATTGGACAATATTAACAGCGACACAATAAATAAAATCACTTCCATTGCAGTGATTCAATGTCCAGGTATTCAATGTTTTTTCTTTTTAAATTAAATTAAATTTACTTTTGAAAAATGACACAAACTTCAACTTCAACAGAATAAACTTTAACCACTACTAAAATGAAGTCATTTGAAACTTCTTCTCTTATATGTATACTCTTACAGCTCTTATCAGATATGACTGAGTGTACGCACAAATCCAAGTCTAAGTATTCTGTGCCAAAGTTCAACTTGTGTGTGTACAATGATCATACATTGAGTGCATGACTAATGGAAGATCCTGACCAAAAACAAAATGTTAACAACTGATAAAGTGGACGATTTCGAGGTATTGGGAATCAAAGTTCAAATTGTGAGTTCACTTCTTTTTGATTAAAATTTCGTTTGTCCCATGAAGAGATTACCGAAATATATTTCAAATGTAAGACACATTGACACATTGTAGTCGAAGCCATCTCTAAATCAACTCATTGAATCATTGAATTATTTTCGAGCAACTTTTTTCAATCGTGTGTAAGCCACACACTACTAGTAATTTTTTTGCATACGTGGTCGTGTAGAAAAGAAATAAATAATAATTGAAAAATAACCGTTGTTTTGTTGTGTTGCAACTTACGTGATTCATTTTTTCATCAGAAATAGAATGAATTAACCTATTTATTGAACAAGATGTTCAGAATTTTAATTCTCATGAAAAATACTAACATTGTATCAAAACTTAAACATAACACTTTTAACGCAAGAGTAAAAAAAACATGAATTTTTGTATTTAAAAAATGAAATCTGGACAGATTAGGAGAAATTCAAAATTTCGGTAGAAACTTATAAATGTGTCTGCCTGCTAGGCTGAAAAGGCCAAATTTCTCAAGAAATATGAAGCTATCATAGATCATATTGAAGTAAACAAAAAGAAAAATCTTTTGGGGATGAATTTTAGACCGACGGAGAGTTTTTTTTTACTTCAAAGAACTAATGTTTGAATGAAAATATTTAAATATTGAATATGACTAAAAAATTATATCCATCTGTGATCACTTCCATCTAGCGAATACAATATGTAACACCTCAAAATGGTCTGAAAAATCAAATTTATTCAAAGAATCATTCTGAAGAAAGATATTTAGTAACTATTTCACTCTGTGTACGGATAAGAATACATTTTCCGAGAAATTCATTCAAACATACACACCTAGTTAATTCCACGGCCGTTGATATTATTTATGAATTAAGAACTATTTTCATAATTTTATTACGTCAACTCACCTAACTGACTCATGCTTTTATAAGATTTTATATGTGATTATTTACGACATAATAAGATTCCAATGATTTTGAAAATGTATCGTTGTTTTCATTTATTTCTGTCTTCTCCTCTTCGTCTCCGGTTTTTTTCTCTTACTTATCCTTTTTGCTTCTTTTTCTTCTTTTCCTGCTTCCTTCTTCGCTTCCTTTGCTTTTTACTTCTGAAAAAACTTCCATTTCCGTTCATATTCTAATTCTAGTTTTTCTACCAATTCTTCTTCACAAAAAAAAACGTTTTCAACTAGAAAAAAAGAAAAAAAAGAAAAAACACCTAACATCAAAAAAAAAACTCCTTGGTGTTGATCAATTCGTACGGTTTTTTATTATTGTCAATTCTTTTTCAAGGTTTGTTAAATTGTCTATTCCATGTTGGGGCATCTTAATTAATTGTTAGCGAAAGAAAAAAAAATGCATTTGCACAAACACAATTACAATAAATAAGGGTCCATTACAAAATAATCACGTGTGAATGTTGGAAAAAGGTTGAGGGAAGGGGGAACGAAAAAAAATTGTTGATTATAAATAGAGAAAAAAGTATTTGTTGTGTATCTTAAGCTAGAAAAAAAAGATTACTTGATGGTGCTCTTAAAATAGTGATTGCCATTGTCCAAAATAGGATCGACATTTGAACGGGATATTTTCACAGGAGAGAGGTATTTTTGGGAGATGGGAGGAAATGGTTGTGGATTATTGCATTTTCGATAACAAGTGTGTGTGTGTGTATTGGGAGTTTGTGAGCCTACTTATCATTCGTATCAATCAATTATCGCAACAACAAAAAAACTCAGTTTTGCATCTCCGGCGCTGTCTCTTTCGTTGATTTTCGTTAAAATAATACTCTCGATCGAGGAAAAAAACGAATTTCCACTTCGAGTCGTGTATATTGCACATCATTTTCAAAAATATTGCGTTTGGAAATAACGAACGATATACAACCTCTTCGCATATTCGATCCCATTTTTTCACTCTTTCTCTCTTTTGCTTTGCCGAATCGACCAAACTGAATTTTGCTCTTGCTTCGGTTTTGGTATTAATTTAACGAAAATACACGGCGATTTACCATCTACATTTAAAAAAAATTGATTGGTTTTGTTTTTATTTCTTAAGCTTGTTGCATTTTCTCTATAAATTAAGTTACATGCTTTTTAAATATATAAGACGAATATATATAGATATATAGATTTGTAATTTAATATAAAAAAAAATATTTGCTTAAAATATTTTTCGTTTTATTTGTTTGTTTGTTTTCTCTTCGCTCTACTAAAAAGCAATGAACAAAATATGAGATCAAAAAATCCAGACAAAATGTGCGTGCGAAATGAATATTGAAATGTGCGTACACCGGTATTTTGGGCTTTGAGCGTTGATTGTTATTCACTCTTTCAATTCCTCTCATAAGATTCAGACTTCTCTTTCAAGTGAAGCTCATTGGTGAAGCTCATTCAAAAAGTGTACCGTTTGATCTCTTTCCGATCAATGCATTTCCCATCAACTACTTGACCAATGTGTGTTTGTTGATGACATTCGAAATAAAAGGTCTTTGATGGCTTCAAAATGTTTTTTCTTTCATTTTTTTTTTCGTTAAACTTTTTAATTTTTTCAATTTTTTAATTATTTTTCCATTCTTTCCCATTTTTCTCTTCCAAATCGAGGGCACACATGATCATCGATCGGAGTCGTTCAACTCAATAACCAATTGCAACGCATTTCGTCGGATTTTTTCAGTATTTTTTGTTGATTCTTTTTTTCATCGCTTGCTTACACGAACCGAAATTTTTCTTCTACAAAACGTTTCTTTTTCTAAATCAGTTTTATGTGAAAAAAACAACAACTCCAGAGTGTCAATTTTTTCGTCAAAAATCGTGTTGTTTCATAGCGAAATGCGTCCTTTTTAGCACTACATGAAGTGAAGAGCTATTGTTTATATATGAATGCATATTTGTCATATGATTGCGTCTTTTTCACATGATAATGTGCCTGTGTTCAACGGACACTGTTCATATGACCAAGGCTGATATAAACACGTCGTTATTTCGATATGAACAATCATTCGATGCAACAAATGAGATGTGAGTTTTATGTGGCATTCCGAACCACATCTGGAAACTTCGAAGCAATTAAAAGTGGTAAGTATATCACTGGTACACTTTTGCACCACTGGTTTTGGCTCTGTTGTGCCACTGTGTTATTCCACTGGTATTTCCATTGCAAATAAGCACATAAAACTGACATAAGTTTGCGTATTTTTCTTGGAACAACGGCAAGTAGATCAATTGTTGAGTGATTTCAAGTTTATCTACCGATCTAGTCGCTGATGTTCCAGAAGCGTGTAGGTTCTATATTTAAGTGCACCAAATTAAACGAAACCCGAATGACTGAAACAAATGCGATTTCATTTGAAAAAAAAAAAATTGAGGTCGATTCGATTTCGCAGCAGTAGCAGCACTTAAGCATAAATTCTACACTCGCGCAAAAAATTGACTCAATGGAGTTGATTTGTTATGTTTACTATCGAAAAGTTGGTGTTTGACAAGCACTGTTTGTGTCCGGTGTATTATTGTAAACAAACGGCTATCATGTTACTGACGGTATCATGTTTGTAAACGGTTTATTCTTAAACAGCTAATTGTGTATAAATTAAAGCCGGCCGAACATAAAATGAAATAAAAAACATAAAATGATTGTATGAAATCAATTTCATCGCTGACATTCCAATGCTCATAGATGGATGATCTATGTTCGGGTTGCGTTTTGTTCTACGAGCAAAAAAAGTATTATCTAAGCCCAAGAGAATTGATTCGCGTGCAAGAGCAAACTACTTAAGCTCTTGATTGTTTTTTTAAAAGAAAACAAATAAGATGAAAGGAAGAAAAAAACTAGTGTGTCTAAGTTCTACTCAAAAGTCTACACTAAATAATACGTGTTCAACACACTCAATCTGAATTTGGAGGGGGAGAAAAGCCGAAACGTTGTCTACTTAATTACTAACTAGATTAAGGTTGTTACTGTTGTTGTTGTTGTTGTTTCGCGTTGTTTTCTATCGCAAACAAATTCTAAATTGCGCCACTTAACCATTTTAAGCCTATTTTGTGTATGTGTATGGGTGTGTTTGTTTAAATATGTGCCTTGCGATAATTTCGTAATCGAAATGTGTATTATGAGTCGTTTTGTGCGCCAAAATCGTTGTTGTTGCTGCTGCTTTTGTTTCGGCCACGGCATTCATCTCCCATGAGCATCGAATCTAGTGCGATGTTTGTCGGAAGTGTGATAATATTGTGCCGCTGCTCGACGGTGAAGTGCGCGCTTTTTTCGGTGATATCTTCTTCAGCGCTGGCTGCAAACGTTTGCGCTCCTTTAGGAAATCTGCAATTAAAAACACATTTATTCATTTTTGTTTTGGTTATTAACAAAAATTTGGTTTTTTTATGGCATCGAGATGGATTAACACGAAGCAAACACTTAAAATCAAATAAATGTTCGAAACAGTTGTTCAATCGATTAAGTTTTTTGTGGGTCAATGAAATATTTATTAATTTAATTAGAAGAACCATCAAATTTGTCGAAATTCAAACGAATCGCCTTTCGAATTGCCTTTTTTGGGTATTTAGTGCGATATATTGTATAGACACTATACTATAGAGTCTTTAGTGCGCTATAGAGTCTTCACATTCACTCATTTATCGCTTCGCACTTTTGAACTGCATCGAAATTTGTAGGCAAACAATGTGCGCCCGCAGTAATGGTGGGCCATTTGTCTTATGACGGAATTTCTAATTCCTCTTTCTTGTCCGTGAAATTCTATATGCCACGAGAAAGAGAGCAGCTGTTCGGTGGTGTGCAACCGTTTAAAATGCCATCGAATCGTTTCCATTCCATGAGTTTTTGATTAATAAACACACATTTAATGGCTCTTTAAACAAGCGGCCAATGTTAAAGGCGGCGACAGCTTTTTTTCTTGTCTTTAACCATTTTTTTTTCCATCTTTAATGATTTTTTTAGTGTTTAATAAAGGCTCTTTAACTTTGTCTTCGCCGTAATTTTCTCGGACGAGAAAACGTTTCAACTTTTTTTGCTTTACAATTTCGTTCAATTTTTTCCTTCGAATTTTTTTCTTTTCGATTGGAGAAATTTGTTTTCTGATCATTTTTTTGTCCTTTTAATTTTTGGCCTACAATTTGTGTTTGTTTTCACATTTTTCGCTTTTTGCTCATCATTCTCGCCTTTAGCTCTTAAAGACTGTCTTTAACTCCTTTAAAAAAGTCTTTAATTTCTTCTAAACGTTTTTTGTTTTGCATTTTATCTGTCATTCTGTCTTCGGTTCACCGCGATGAACAGTCTTCGGTTTAGAAAAACGCTCGTTTTACGTTCAACAAAAGCTGTTCGTGTGCAGCCATCCTTTCAGCGTGCAATTCCGTGCTCAAATTGATATCATCGGCTTCGATAAATGTGTGGCATTTAACAGGACAAAAAGTGCTCGTTTTTAGTTCATGATTTTTTTGCGTAAAATCGATGACGTGTTCAATTTGACGGAACAGAAATGCATCGAGGGGACGAAGCGAAACCGAAAAAAAATCGGTTTAAATTTCAACACAGTCGTGGAATAGAAGCACAGAAGCGAAGGAACGAAAAAAAAGAGAAAGAAGGGCAGGCGCGTATAATCGTCGGTTGGTCAATAATGTTCTGGTCATTTTGCGGTTTACTGAAGATTAAATAATTTTCTTAGACAATCTGACCCTTTTTTTTTCTTGAGTCCATTTTCGACAACGGGGCTCGAACACACATACACACACATTTTATGTAAATTGTGCCAGAACCGAATTTGAATCCACTTTTCAGCATATGCTCTCGATGCAAACGCGTTGTGATAGTGATCTACCGCGATGTATGCCGTTGAACAGATGTCCATCTGATCGCTTCACATTTATTAAATTAACATAACTGTTCTGGTTGCGATGGTTCGTGCCATACTGCTAATTGAAATTCCATCCCAAAGAATGCACCCATTTCGGCGGATTATCTCTGTGTGGCGATCATGAACACAAAATAAACAACTGACGCTTTTCAAATGCTATTCGGTCAATAATGTGATAATCATTACGAATTTTTGTTGTTATTCGGCTAATTTGACCCATGGTCGACGATGACGATGCGTCGCCGTTTCAAAACATGTGGTCGTGCACCGTCGAAACGAAAACAGATCTCAAAATGGTAAACATATGTTTGAATGAACCGCAAAAACAAATCACCGACGGACCGGGTCGAAATGGTCATTTTTCACAATTTGTTCGGGGCATTTTGTTCCATTTCTTTCAGTTTTACGTCTAAAATCGACATTTGAGTTGAGGTTTTTCGGAATTGGAACACTTTTTTTCTAAAGAACGTAACACAATTTGTATCTTTCAGTTCAACTGAAGCAGAATGTGAACTGAAGTTAGGCCTAAGTTGTGACGCTGTTGAACTAGATTGGAATAGAAGTCAAAACGGTAAGCAAAAGAAAGAAAACAAATGGTGGAGTTTGTATTGAATTTGAAAGTTTGAACTAAATTTGCTTCGAAAATGGAACAAATGAATCAAATTCGCTCTAAATCCAAGCCAAATTCCACTGTAAATTGAATTCCAAGAGCAATTTTCGATTACTTGGCTATTTCCAATTAACCTTAGACAAATACTCTATTGAAAAGGACAAAATTTGCAACTTTGTATGAAAAAAACACGCATTTTGCCACTTTCTAAGCGAGTTGACCGTTTTCGTCGACCAACGACGTATTATTTAGTCTGTTTTTGCGTATGATAAAAATGATCGGCTGTGGCAGGCGTCGTCGATCAGCATTAAAAATGATAATTTATGCACCGTGTATTGGATAGTCGGCATAGTGCACACTTTGGTGTGGCAACATGCGTAACCGAATGACAGATCACGCAAGCGGCGGCTGCTGTTTTTGTTGTGCCTGGCGCCCCATTGCTGTCGTTTGTCCGTTGCCGATCGTCATTTAATCCAATTCTTATTCAAACGCATCAACCAAAAACAAATTATGCTAATTTATTCAGTTAAATAGCCACCCTCGAGCAACTGAATTCGTCTTGGTCGTTGTTTCTTTGTTGCGCTTTTTTTCGGTTTCCGCATTCATCGAACGATCGAAGTGATTCAACGAGTGAAACTATGCATCGGAACGACGAATGACAGACAAAACTGGAAATTTAATGAATTTCAAAGACCTTGATTAATTATGGATTTTTTTTTTCGTTAGGTATTCGTTTCGTCTGTTTCATTCAAAAAGCATGTAGCATGTAACATGCATCCGAAAATTTGAAACGATGACGACGAGGTCGAGAGCACACCCATGAATATGATTGTCTATTGACACACGTGTGCTATTTTTCAACTATTTTCAGCGTTTGCTGTGTGCTAGGCCTTCAACATCACAATATCTCCCCTCGGAGGAGTGAGAGATACGCAGAGAGCGACACATGCGATTTTGAGATTGGACGAAACTAACGAAAATAAAGAATAAAAAAAAAACCATATGCAACACATACAGCCCATACCAACGAAAAATGCATAATTTTACTCTCATTTCCATTTACACCATCAGCAAATGTTTTTTCACCGCTAAATTTAGATAAGCAGACAGAAAAATGCCGGTTTTTCCAGCTGGTTGTAGTGACAGAGCATGCGCTGTACAAACACACTTTTTGAATTATACTCAATTCCATTCAGCTTGACGCAGATGATCTCTTGCTACATCTCAATTGACATACATATATCGAGGTTTTTCGATGGGGTGGAGGCCTCAACGAACTATTTGCATCAATGATATTGTTTGAATGCTCATTCTATTCGTTCATCATTTTATTGTTCTTTTTAGTCGATTTTTTTTTCAACGGTTTTTGACGCAGATTTGATACAGACGATTTCATCTAAAGCGCTTCATAAGGATAGAAAACTCTTAATGAAGACCGACATTTTTCTATGTCAATATTGAAAAATCTTGAAAGATCGAAAATTTCTGATGAAGAAATCTTGAGAAAGGCCGAAAAATATTGAAAAAGATGGAAAAAGATCGATTAAGTTCGGATAATATAATAAAATTGACGAAAATAGTGCTAAAACCGAATGATTCAGTGTGAATTTGATTCTGAATCCGAGTTTGGTCTTCAAACAGTTTCTGGACTTTGGCAATTTGTCATGTGGGGATTTTTTCAAATTTAATTGAAAAATAATTTGAATCGTTGCTTTTAATCCGTCTATCGATCAATTTCCCATTAAAATCCAGCCAGGAATCCAGCATTATATATGATATCACGATATATCATAATCAACAAAAGCAAAGCCATGAACCGTTCATGTCGTTGAAATACCAATGGTGTTATACCATCAATTTATGATGTATGTAATTAAAAGTGAATGTTGAATTCAATCAAATCATCGGTTGGTTGCGTGAGAGTAGTTGGAATGGCAACACAATTGATGATCAGCAAGAGAGCAAAAAAAAAGACACCGAAAGAGAGAGTGAAGAGGCGGAAAGAAAGAAAAACCGTTAAAAATCATGGATGCATATAGAACACTAAAAGGCATAACGATCGATTCCCCGGATATAAACACCATTTATTTTTATATTGTTATGGTTTTTCATTTTGTATTCACGAAACAAGCGAAAGGAGAATGTGGCAGCAGCAGCAACAGCAGCGAATGCACGCATTTAGTGAACCATTACCATTTTTACCCTTTTTTTCGTTGTTGGATTTATGTGTGCATATTGTTCTTGCTCTCTTGGTTTATAGATTTATGGGCGATTGCGTTGCATAGCTGCTTGTTTTGCATCAGCTGTTCCATTTTAAGTGGCTTGCGCGCAGCCCATATTTTCGGTTGTAGGAGTCCCTCACTCTCTCTCGCTTGTCGTAATTTATGGGATAATGCGTGTGTGTGTGTGTGTTTTTTTTTCTTCATAACGTTTATGGAATATGAAGTAAGAAAGTAAGGTATTTGAAAAATTAAAAGGAAACACTATTTTACGGTTGTTTAACATAATTTTGTAAGAGAGAGAGAGAGAGAGAGAGAGGGACATATTGTTCGCGCAACGGACAAGCATTTTTTTATGGTCTTTCCTTTTGGTCTTCGGTCAAGTCCAGAACAGATTTAAGTATATGGCTTTTGACGGTTTTGTAATAAAAGGAATTGACGAAAGCGAGAGGTGCATGTATTGGTGGGTGTGTGTGGGACGATGATCATAAGCAAATCGAATGCGACTATATGTTTCGATCCGTTTACTTTTCTCAGGCAATGCACGCTCTATAGACCACAACCGATTGCATTTTGACTTTGTCGTTGGCATTTATTAATCGAATGATTCGACAGTATTTTGGGTGACGTGAGAATATCGCTTGGAATTTATTCACATCGAACAAGGAATTCATTATTGACATAATACATTTCTGGTTCGATGCAAATACATCGATTCATTTTAGTATTCGATGATTGAATTTCGATCTACTTTCATCGATTTATCGAAGGATTCAACAAATGTAGGCAATGAAAACTAGTCATTTTCAATAAACAGAAAAATCAATTGATATCAATGTGAACATTTTGCAAAAACAAACGATGTCCGGCCATTTATCAACAATTATCATGATTACAACATATTATCTTTGTTAAATCTTTGTTGACATTCTTGTAAATCGTAAAATTTTATTCAATGAAATTCTCAACGAGAAAGAATTCATGGTTCGAATTTAAGATTCTTTAGAAAAGAATGAATTGTTTAAATGCTACAGTTGCCGATTCAGCGATTGTGATCGATGTTATAAACAATTAGAACCCGAACAATTTGTTTCAAACGTTGGTATTTACACTGAGAAGTCTCACAGTGTTAAAAGAGAACGAAAATATTCATGTATCTTCAAGCTTGATTGTTCCATAGGAAATTAATTGATGGCTAGAATAATCTGAACAAGTCTAAAGTGATATGTTAAGTAAAAAAATCGTATTTTGTTACGAAAAATCGCTGAAGAAGCAACCACAGCCTTAAAAATCTGAATAAAAAAAATAACGCGTTTTGAAACCTACCTGTCATTTTGCGTTGTCGCTTCTCGCGTATTCGTGGGCTGTTCCGCAAAATTCGACCACCGGTCGAGGCGGTGGTGCTGCTGGTGTCGGTACATGATTTACTAGAATTGCTAATTGTGGTTTTATCACTACTACAGCTAGTATCACAACTTGGACGCGGTGCAACGATCAACTCTTCAACTGCAATGGAAAATGGGTGAAAAATGCATTAGTTTTTGTTTCGAAATTATTTTTTTTCTCGCACTAATGAAACGGAAGAAAACTAAAGAGAATTCTGAAAGGGAAGAGAATTAAAACGAAAATGTTTTTGAAGAAAGAAAGTTTTTTTTCTCGAGAAATGTTGTTTCTTTGATCTCGACTTTGTCTCACTCAAAACTTTAAATTTTAGAATATTTAAATTGTCACTTTGAACCTTGACCTGAAAATTGAACTTAGAACAAGACTTTGGCTTGTCACCACCTTGTGTTTGCCCCAACGAAAATCATGAAATAATAAACAAACTCGATTCTTACCGTGATTTGACGCTGGTGTGGGTGGAGTTTTGTTTGCCGGGCGAATGTTTGATGTGATGTTTGTGTCTAAGGCTGGTATTTTCGATGTGGATGGCATCCAATTTAAGTCGCACAGCATATTATTGTCCTCCTCTTCGAATGAGTCTTCATCACATGACGATGCTGATGTATGACCACCATCAACGTCTTCGAACGATAAGTCCAGTTTGCTGGTGTCTACATATCGATTCGATTGATCGGCCAATTCGTCATAGAGGTCAAGGAAGGAGTCGCGTCGCTGATGGCGTCGTTTCTTTGATGGTGTACGATCCGTGGGATCGATAGGACGAATATGGGCGGCTCGGCTCAATGCATACATTTCCGGTATTTCATTTGTTGGTGGCACACGTTCCCACATGAACAGCTTTGTGTCTTCCAATGGGCAACCACGCACAAAATCAAAGCCCCACTTCTGGCTAGACGACATCTGATGCTTTGCCAGCTCTTCCTCCGCAAAACTGATGAAAAGTGCAAATAAAATGTTAGGGCAATTACTTTGGATAGCGAATGAGGCAAAGTTATTGAGGTACAAGCCGATTTTAAACAACGTTCCAACATACGCAAAAGAAAAATTCACAAGGGAATCTCTTTTGCCCAACTGATTACGTTCAAAATCTGACTGAGATCAAAATTTGGTTTGAATTTTTTTTTTTTTGTTGAATCCGGATTGTTGAATGGAAAAATCTTCTTTTCAAAAAATGAAATTGCCTCTCTGAAACCGAGATGAATTGAGCATTGGACGTTATCAGAAATATTTAAACAAAATATAATCGACTGGTAGCCGATGGTTGCATAGAAAAGAAACCATTCTTACCGGCTGCACTCCTTTCGATCGACCGGCCCGAATAGATTGCGTCGAACATGATCGAGTTTGGCCCGTGGCATTGTGTTGTGCATTTTGCTATCGTTGAATTTCAGTACACTAAATTCGTTGTCGTAGTGAAATGTATTGAATATCGATACACTCATTTTGTTATCTGTTGCATATATGATAAATGGATGCGGTTGTGCGCTGTTGGATATCTCACTTCTCTTGTTCTCTTTCAATGAATTAATTCGATTTTTTTCAATTGCAAACGAAAATTTCCACGAACAAAAATGTTTATTTTGCTTTTTTTATTGCGAACGTATTGTTTCAATTCATTGACTATGCTTGGAATTGCTGCGCAACAATTTCGTTTGTTCCGTTAGCTTACGCGAAGGGAATAAAAAGCAACAGAGATTTATTTTTTGTCACGCATACAAACAACAATCGCCCTTTCTCTGTCTCTCTCGTTGGTTCGTCGCAATAAAACACAAAATATTGATTCAATGCTGTCGCGGTTGGGTGCGATATAAATTTAAGACGTTCTAAATTCGTCAAGTTCTGCTCTCTCTCTCTCTCTCTCTCTCTCTCGTTTTTTTTTCTTTGTTTCTGTGCACGGTGCAAACAAAACGGTGTTGCGAATGCGAATACGGATAGAATACACACGGGCCGTGCACACACGTTCAATGACACAATTTTTGATTTGTTTATTATTTGGTCGTTTTGGAAATGTGTCCCGTTCGTTTTTTTTTCTCTTCTCCTCTCGCTTTGCTTTTACGTTTTATGCTTTCGTCTATAGTATTTCGATGAGAAATAAAAACAAAATCGAGTGTTTTTTCAGCGTCTCGATTGGTTGATTATAAACAAAGCTTGGTGGCCGCAATGACAAAAAAAACGCAACCGTACAATATTTTAATGAATTATTTGTGCGGCACTTTTTTTTCCCTTTACACACAACTTTCTTTTTGAATGGGTTACTTTGTCATCAACAATTTTGCGTCTTTTTTACAATTTCTCCGGTTTTTATCACTTTTTTTTACAGTTTTTCGGTGGTTTTCAAGTTTTATCTATCGAATTTCTTCTTTTTTTTTGCACAATATTTTCGTATGGTGAACACTCACGTTCGGTGGGATTGAGAGAAAAAAAAATGTTATGAAGTGATCGTGGTCGACATATAACCCGATCAATACACTTATTTACGTATTCGCTTTTTTTTCGTATGGTAAAAACTCAATTCAATCGATATTATTCACTTTGTTTGCAAATTGTGCGATGGAAACAAACGAATTTGGGTGAAAGATCAGTTGAAATATTATTAATAAATTTTTTTTTCTTTTCCTTTTTATTTATCTGCGATGACAACACACGTTCTATATGACAAAACGTAGTAGCTAAATACACGACGTCGCATTACAAATGGAAAAACAAAATGTCTGCTCTCTCGCGGCTCGGTCGTTGTGTGTACGGGGATTTCGATAAGTTTGAATATAATGATATTCCGACGACGTTGTCGTCGTCGTCGTTGTCGTTCGTTGTATGGTGCGAGAGTGAAGCGGCGAACGTTTCACTGTATCGGTTTGGCTCTTAGCGCTGTTGTCAGTTTTGTTGTTCGTATTTCGCTCGTGCGCTCGTTACTCTTTTTTTTCTGTTGTTCGGCTCTGGCTCTCGTTTCACTATTGTTGTTGTAGTTGAGGCCCGTGTGTGGAATTGCGAGAGTATCTAATTGTTGCGTACGATTCCGCAGCAGATTATTCACTATTTTCTCTCTTGTTCGCTACGGGCGTGTGTGTTTGCGTTGATATATCTTCTAACTCTTGATGCTCTCTCACTTTGTCTTTATTCCACTCTCAATTGCCTTTTCTCTCTTGTTCTCTTCGCCTTTTGCTCTCTTCGTCTCTTGTTCTCTTCGCCTTTTGCTCTCTCTCTCGGCTTCTTTCTGGTGTGATTTTCGAAGAACGTGATAATGACGTCGGGTGAATTGATATCGACGTGTTCCTCGTACTAACACCAACCAACATCAACAACACACAACGTTCTTTTTTTAACTCTCGCGTTCGTTTTGATTATGTATTCACACACCGAGAAAAAAAAATCCTCGCTTTGTTTGTCATATGCACACAATGAAATGCAAGATCGATGTAGCTGTGTTCGGCCCGGCCGTAAACTTTAAATATTTTCATAAAGATCGTATTTTATGATGATTCTCTTTTCGTCGTCGTCGTCTTCTTCGTCGCGTTTATATGTGTATAGCCTGACTCTTTGTGTATTTGATTACGATTTTTGCTTCTCTCGTCGTTCGAGAAAAAAAAAAACAATTCGAACGTCGATGTCGTGCTCTCGGATTTTGCTTTTTTACTTAATTCTCTCGTCGTTGATCGCTTCGTTCGTGTATGATGCACAACAAAAAAAAAGAAACGAATACACCAACACAATCAAATACTCCCACAGCGAGAACACTTTTCAAAACAACCAACTTTTTTTTTTCGTTCAATCGTTTCTTTTCTTCTACTGTTTCAATCTTTGTTGTCTCTGTTTCAAATTGTTGTTTACTGTTTGATCACTTCACTCAATGAATTCTTTCGTTGGAATAAAATTCGAAACTTTTCTTTTTTCTATTGTTTTTTTCTGTCAATTTTCGAAATTTCAAAAAAAAAAATTTCAAGTTTTTCTTTGAAATTTTTTTTAATCGAAAATTGGTTGATGGGTTAATGTTTGATATGATAATGAAATCGAACACAAACACTTAGTATTCAGCGCACGCTCAATATAAAAGGATGGCAATTGTGGTTTGGTTTGTTTGTAAACTAAACAGCACACACTCTCTCACACACTGAAACTTTGGCTATGGTCCCAAAAAGTAGCAAAAATGAATGGAAATTCACTATTCAATGGGCACAAAGTGTAGTGTACGACTGTTTTGCAATCGTTGAATATAATACGATTTTTGATCCAGTCCTTCTCTCTCTGAGTGAGAAAGAAAAAAATGTTGTCGATTGTAGGGTACAGCACTGGATATTGAACCTCATTCAACGAATACTTGGTGTAAACTGAAACAACGAGCCCCGTTTTTGACAAAAACACACACAAAATCCTCACTCATGACCAAAACGTAAATACGTTTTGTGTTGTGCATTGCATGTGTCTCTATCGCACCTAGAGTGCAGTTTACGGGCGCGCAAGATCGACTTTTGCCGGTGCAACTCTCCTTTTTACTCTCGCTACCGGAATGTTCGATACGAAAAAAAAACTGAAGCGTTTGCGTTCAGTGCCTGACGCATCATCGGTGTTTTGTAACGAACATATCGGTTTTTCCCTATTCCTTTTTGTATGGCATTGCGTTCATTGGCACGGCATTTGTTGTACAATAAATGGCTCGATTGCATACGGGATCGCTTTGTGTGCGTGTGTAACGTAGTAGAAGCCCGTTTGTTGTGCGTACAGCGTACACACAATTGGAGCGAAAGAAGGACGCAACACAAAATGTGAGATAGAGTAATGAGAATGAAGAGAATTGAAAGAGGGAAAGAGAAGATGAGAGAACGACTGAACGAAAGTAAGAGAGAACGACACAACGAGGGAACGAGAGAATGAAAGAGAAAAAAGAATGAGAAAATCAACGGATTCAATGAGAATATGAGCGAGAGCGAGAGAAAGAGTGTGGAGAGAAAAGGGAAGCAGAACGAAACCAACGAACGATGAACTGAAAGAAGAAAGAAAAAAAAACAAACTCAAAAACGGCACTACGTACTGCACTCGGAACAGCATAGCGCAGCACACCGCTCTTTCATTCGCAATCTCATTAGGAGAGTAAAGAAAAAAAGGTATGATCAGCGAGTTGCTTTAGGCGAATGGAAATCACAAAATACGGACACTCACTCGCTCTCGGTTGTCGTAGTCGTTGGTTTTATTTCTACTCTTTATTCGTTATTTGTTCGATTTGTGGACGCGCATATTGCGCAAAGGATTGAAATCCACAAGAGAAAAAAAAAACAAAGTGAAAATGACCAAAACAACAACATTTAAGTGCTTGCGATGCACACAGAAAATATGAACAGCAAGAGAAAAATAAAAAAACGACGAAAAAGAAGGCGATTTGATTTTATTTCTGCGTCGGACAATTATCCGTGCCATGTCCTCATCGCTCATAAAGCGGTGCGTTGCTTTTTTGCTTCGTTCTTTCTTCAATTGTTGTAAACTTGGCTTAGTGGCTTAACATCGTTTACTGTGTTACACGCGCGTACTACGACGACAGCTCGTGCATGGCCTCGATGCATTCACTCACTCACTCTCTTTCGTCGTTTTTATGTAATATTCCCTAGTTTTTTTTTTCTCCTTTTATTATTCCCTGTATCTTGCTGGACCGAAGCCACTCTCTTATCGCACCTTCACTAACTCCACCGACCGAACAACTGAACGACAGAGAGGGCGAGCAACAGTGATGCTGATTCCTGTTTCGAATTACACCGTTTTCATTCGCCTTTCTCTGTTACACTCACGATCGCCTTGATATCGCCTTTATTTATTACTCACTAGCTCGCTCTCTCTCTCTCTCTCTCTCTCTCGGTTAGTATTTTGATATTTTATGTATTTTTAATGCTGATGAGAGAACGACTTAGAGCGCTCATAATGTGCATGACCTGTAGCAGTTCTTTAAGAAGTAAATGCACTATGTCGTTGCGCTCGTTTTATGCTCTTCTTTTTTTTCTGCGTTTTTTTTTATCGTTGAGTCGTTCTTTTCGTTCCTTTTTTTTCTCTTCTGTTTATTCTTTTTTTCCTTGTTTTCTGTTTACTTGTCGATATTTATACATATTTTTCCTAAAGCCTAGTAGCCTTTTATCTAAGATTCAGCAGCTCTCGTCGTCTTCGTCGTCGTCGTTGTCACTCTCTCGTTATTATTTCTCTGTGCTGCAGTTTTATCGCCTTTTTTCTACCATTCTTACTCTGTGCATGTACAAGTGTGTGACTCGCATACGAATTGCATTCTTCTTTTTCCATCATTCGCCTTCTATTATCCGGCTTATGCATTATAATAGCCGCGTACATATTTATTTCTCCTTTAATATTTTTCGACGAATCCATTTCTCAGACACACACAAAATAATAATAAATTTGATTCACTTCGTGAGTACAAAATAAAGTGAGTGAATACTTTTGGGTGAAATGAGTTTTTAGCTGCGAGAAAGCCATTGACTGCAGCAACAAAAACGATGACAAATTTTTATAAACGATCAAATCATGCAAATGAACTTCACACAAACTGAAAAAAAAATTGAAACGGCGAAAAGAGTTCGGTTCCACTTTTAAAAAGCCATTTATTTCATTTAATCCACGGTCTCAATGCTTTTCGCTTTCTACATGTACAGCTTATTGAATACAATTTGGAATTTTTTTTTTCTTCAGTTAATTTAATGTTTTCCATTCTTCATCATTCAAATTTTGAATTCAGTTATCCTACGCAGTCAAAAAAAGGCTTGTCAGCTATACCATGGGATCTATTAGCGGTGTATTTAATGAGGCAATTTTCATATTTTCACATTTTCATAGGCAAAATCCCATTTGGACGCCAAAATTGAAGATTTTTTTAATCGATTCAATTCTTGGCGATCTTCAAAGAAAAGACATCAATTCTTGACGATCTTTTTCGGTACTCAATAGCTACATGAATACTACTCATTTGATATTTTTTTAAGCAAAAATTAAAATATGATTCAATTGATAGGAATGAGTCGATTCAATCCAATTCGATCAACGATCCCATTTCGACCATCCGAATTCAAATCAAAACTTTCATTTCTCGATTCATCAAAAACCGGCCTCATCACAACCCATTTTGAGTTCTTTTGATTTCGTCTTATTCCTTAATTTGGCATTTCAGTCAATTGCCCGGCCGATTCAATTTGAGGCCAAGTCAAAACATGTACGATCATGTACAAATGCACAAGAAAGAACATAAAAAAAAGACACTCCAAGACTTGATTTTCCAGAATTCAACTGAAAAAAAAAAATCACACACAACTCTTTCGAGCTGTTTTTCGCTGATCGTGTGACGCACCAAATCTCTTTTTCTCTCGACACAAAAAAAAAACACAAAATTAACCAACAACATAATCGCCTTGCTTTAGGATGAAACGAAACGTAATATATGTATATAAACAAATTCGTTCTGGTGAACAGAGCACAGGTGAATCCGCATCAAATTCATGCACCATTTTTGTTGTGGTTTTCAAACTAATTTGCTTTTTCAAGATTAATGTGGTTGAACTGATGTGTCATCCTTTGTTGAAATTCGGACTTTTGCGCATTGAATTAACTTCTTGTATTCAAAACTTCGTTTTGGTTCATAAATGAAATCTCTGTTGATTTTGCTACGCAGTGATCGACAAGAATGGAAAAATAGAATTTCAAAATGAGAACAAGGATGATCAGTCAAAAATCACGGCAAAAGAATACATCTATTCTTTCAACTCTAATTCCATTAAATAAATCCTTTGGGAAGAATCGCTTACCTTTGGCAGAATGGATCAGCCATGATTTTGATAAATTCCAGCAAAGAGCTCGGATTTAAGCGTTTCCATGCTTGAAAAGAACAGCATAGTCAAAATTACTAAAATAACTGAATCGATACTTTTTATCCACATTTTACATGTAAATTACACATTTTTATTTGAAAATATGAAGAAAATTTTTTTTTTTGATTTTGTTCCACAAACTATGATTCGGTCGAACTTGAGAACTTCTATACCAAATTGTTTGTAGAATTGGTCATTTTGATCCTTTTAAGCAACAACCTTCAAAACAAATCAAGGTTTTTGCAAATTCCGAGGCATTGACGAAGCTGTTGAAAAAAAGTTCCGAAAATGATCGATGTCATTCGTTTTATTGATTTCCATATTTGTGATGGAATTTTGTAATGAATTTATGCAAACATTTGGTTTGGAATAATACCTAATTGATCCAAGTAACGAACTTGGATATCAAACTAAAGCCAAAATTGCACAATGAATGAATTTTTCCAATTTTATCCATGAGCTCTATAATGACAGACTGTGTAAGTTGTTTGGATTGAATTCAAAATGACAATAAAGACGAACATTTGGTGTAATTTAAACACTTGATCGTCTTGCAACACCGGATAACCGATGCTATACATCACTTCCTACAGCAGTTTTTGTTGCATTGTCTCATGTTTGTTACTTTGTATCGCTTCGAATATCAATTTGTGAACTTATTTGGTTTCAGCAACAACGGATGCACTCCGGTCATGAAATGGAAAAAAAATGATCGCATGTAAAGTTAAGGTATTTGTTTTCTTATTTACTAGAAATGGGATAATTTCACTTTGATGAGCTCATCAATTTACTTACTTTACTTGAATATTCAGTATGTAACATATTTTGAATGATACGATTCGTCTCTTCCGTCTAATCGTTCCGTCTTATTTAGATCTTCACTTTGACTTTCTTCTTCGGCCTATTTTGGCTGTCGTCATTACCTTTTTTCTAAGCAGAAAAAAATTGACCGTTGAATATTTCTAGCTAAAGACTTATACCTATTTGCCAATAATCTAGTACGAAACCACGAATTAAACTGAATTCCACATAATAAAACACAAATAAACTGAATTCGAGTCGAAAAGTTTGACTCTCCTCCAAAAAACGCGACAATAATTGGTTTTTAATTAGAAAATATTTGCGACAAAAAATTCGTTGATTATCAAAAATTCATCTGCAAGACAAGCGATTGCACTTCAAAACGTCAATTGAGCTAAAAAAAAAAAAATTTAAGATGACGTAGAATGTGATGATTGATTGAAGGAAAACGTTTGAGCTTCAGAAGAACTTCAAGAAAAAATGGCATAGACATTTTCAACACTGAACTAGGTAAAAAAAAAACGGCAATTTCCGTTATAAAGACGATTCTGGTCAATTTCCTGTTTGAAAATCAGTGGTTTTTCAGTTTCAAAACTGGATTTGGTGTCGAAAAATGTTGTCCAGCAAAAATAGGTTCGTCCATTCAGTTTTTGAGTTCAATTTTCGTCCGTTCGTTCTAACAAAGAAAACCACTTAAGAAATCCGATTGAATGAAA